TGGGGCGGGGCAGCCACTGAGGGTCTGGGGTTGCAAGAGGGGGATGGGGCGGGGTGGGGCAGCCATCTGGGGTTCTGGGAGTGCAAGTGGGGGGTGGGGCCGGGCAAGCCAGCCACTGGGGGCTTGGGGGAGCAAGCAGGGATTGGGCATGTGGGCCCTGTAAGGGGGCAGTCTGTGAGCTTTGCGAGGGTGCTGCACCCCGTGGGTGGCAGGGAACCCACCCCCTGAGCATCCCTCCCCACAGTCCCCCCACGATCTACCCACACCTACCCACATACCGCAGGGCCCCCCACAGCCACCCATATCCCCCCACCCTTCTCCAAACCCCACATCCTCCCAGCACACACTCTGCATGCCCAGCTGCCAGACAGGATGAGACCTGCTGGCAGAAGCTGTAGTGGCAGGGGCAGCTGTCCCCACATCCTGGTTAGCGAAGGGGTCAGGGAAAGCTCCAACTGCTCTATGGTAAGAAAACCAAAGGCAAACAGCAAAACATATAGGTATTTAGAATTCAGTTTATTATGGTGATAGAGACACTGGTAGGCTTCCAGACTGCTTTAACACTGTAGATATATCAATAAAACATTGCCCAACTAATTGCTGTCTCTGTCTCTCTCTATATATAATGTTATTTCGTTTTAATTGTGGAGGAACATAGATTTCAGGGTATTTTACAGAGTGGCTTTTGGATTTTTGTAATCAGGGATTTTTCAGTTTTCAAATAAGAAACACCAGAATTCCTGCTAGGGAGGCAAGTGGCAGGACCCAGGCAGAGGAGCCTGCTCAGAGCTGGTACCTTGGTACCTTGGACCCAGCTAGAGGCGGCTAACCTCCTGGCCAATTGGGGCCAGGAGGACATGCTTTGACAGTTCAAAGCAGGTCACCACACTGGGAACATATTCCGAGCAATTGCCCCTGCCCAGCCATCTGGGCAACTCACACAGCAGTAGTGCCGCACAAAGGCCAACTCTACAGCCACAGCCCACTGGCAGCTGGCCCAGAGGGGCAGATGCCTCTACTGGCTGTGCAGTCCCCATCTGGGTCTGGCAAGTGCGCAGCAGGTCGCAGCCAGGCAGCAGTCCTCACTGCCAGACTGCTGCAGTGGGTAGAGGGGACTCTCAGGGCTGCTTCAGCAGTCCAGCTTGCACAAGGGGTAGAGTCTCCAGAAGAGCGAGTAGCCTTGAGCTACTTGCCAGGGCAGCTTTTTATACTGCTGGGGCCAGCAAAGGTGCTGGCCCCAGGATCTAGCTCCCCCTGGCTGCAGATCCAAGAGGAGCCAGGCAGGATTATTTTGCCCCAAGTGGCACCACTTGCACCACACCAAAGTGTATGTCCAGGTACATGCACTGAGGCAGAAAGCCCCAGCTCAAATTTGCACTGCTTCTATTTGAGCTGCTGCAAGTGCATGTGCCTGTGTGTGTGGATGCGCCCTAGGAGTCCATTTAGTGCAGAATAAAAAAAATATACTGAACATATTGGCCAGATCCAGACACGCAAGGATGTGCCATTTGTGGTGCTGCAAACCTCTTTGCAGCACCACAAACCACATGTGTTACACGTTAAACCTTGTGTTGTATGCATTCCTGGGCAAAATTTGCTACTGGGATTTCCCAGTAGCAAATAAAATGCCTAGA